ACAACAGTAACTAAGAAAGGATGAAAGAAACTTCGTCAAGAGCTCTTGCCGGAAACGACCATATGACTCGTCAAAGAAAATGTTGTTTGTTCAACTTCCAGAAAAACTTCCGTTACTATTAAAAAGATGAAAAGGAATAAACTAGACGTTTTATGTGAAACGAGACTTTATAATGTGCATTCATTGTTTAAAGAAAAGATTTAGTCGCAGTGGTGAAGTACGGATTCGCTAATTTATTATTTAGATTTTTCTTGATAATAAAAATAGCAAATACCCACAAGACAATACCCGCATATAACTTGCTATCTGAAATGTGCAAGTCTTGAATATTTTTTTGCTAGAAGTCGAAATGCAATAATACGATAGATACCGTCTTTACTTTGATCGTGCAACCATTAATCTCGTAAATCCTCTTTGTAAATTCATAATCCCGCCCAAACCCTCTAATCTACTATCAGGTAAAGATAAAATTTTTAAAGTATAAAGTAAAGTAGTTACAATTTTCTTTTAACCAAAAGCAGAGTGCTTATTTTATTGTAGTGTCTCATTTTGAATATGTAATTTTTCTTGCAATTCACTCAATATCTCTTCATCCTCTTTAATTTCATCCAAATCGGTCATTTCAAATGGTATACTAAGAACGGGATCTGTTTTACTCACCAAAAGAAAAATGGCAATGAATTAAAAAATATTTCATATAACTTTGATTTCGTTTAGAATATACAAACTAACACTTGTAGGTCTAAATATTCAAACTACAGTTTCATTCATATGAAATGTCAATATAATTTATATTTAGAAACAAAAAATACCTGTATCAGTTGTAATCAGATTACTGTAATTTTAAAGTACCTGAATGGGTTTGTTGTCTTTTGTTCGCATTCATTTCATTCCTCACCAAGTTCTTTTAATTTTTTGTTTCTTCTAATCTATGACATTCAATAATTTTTTATGTGTTTTAGGATATTCTAAAGAGCTGTAGTACTGACAATGCAAAGTACGTATTCAGTGTAATTTGAATCATCGAAAGAGTTGTCTGTTTCTAGAATAGGATCCCAACATTTCAATGAGAAATTTGCACCATCGGGGAACATTATTTGTTATCGTAGGCCGTACTCAATTACAAGACTTGTATCATAATTACGCTCACCTCGCCTGTTACGAGCTCGTATATAACTATCCCAAAGTATAAATCTCTGCAGATTTAGTGTATGGCTTTCCGTTTAGCACTTCTATACTCATGTAAGGAAGTACATCGTAAATTTTTATTGGATTTGTCTATACATGTATTTGCTGGATCAGTAAACCCCAAATCGGCAATTTGAGCATACTGCTGTATTAATTAATTTCTAGGTGAAGTCACGATGCACAGATTCTTTGTGAATTTTATTCAACCCTTGAGTAACGATAATACTAACGCTAATTAAAAACTTAATTTGAAATGCCAAGTCATAGTTAGAATTAATATATATACGGCATCGCATACTGTAATCCATTATCGTTATTCCACAACGATAACGATAAGAATAATGCATAAATATCACTGTATTTTAGAGCAGTGAAAACCTATTTTGAAAAATTTAATTTAATTGAACATGTACATGTATTAGAAACAAAAAAACCATTATATGATTGTAGTAAATGTACAAGTTCTTAAAGAAGTAACGTATGGTGAAAAAAATCAATGCGTACAACATACGCATGTATGACTATAATATACATGAATTTTTGATCTGCGGGTGGTTACACCGGTAACACAGTCTCCTTTTAGAAACGCATTGTTTTTTTGTGTGTTTCTTTATTTGTGTCAATCAATTCAAATTACACCGTAAATTCCACTGTAATTTCCACATCATAAATAGAAAGCCAAAAATGTATATAATGAGAGTGAGAAAGAGCAATTAGAGAATAAGCAGAAGAATTGGCAATAAAGCAATAAAAAAAACTTTAAAATATAATTACTTACTTGCGTACAATTAGTTCTTATGGTGCCTTTTCATTCTCCATCCCAATAATTAAATCCATTGTTACAATATGGGATTTGTCACTTTGATCCAGAAAAAATGAGGTGAAAACAATTTGAAGGGTTTGTCACTTTGATCCAGAAAAGTGAGATAATTGTTTTGACGACTACAATTTAAGAGTTTACGGTCCAGAAAAAGTGTACACATTGTTAATATTTGTGAAACACGTGAACGAAACCAGATTGATAATTGAATATAACAATATCTGAAGTTATTAGCACAGAACCTTGGAAAACTGATAAATAAAATAACTTTAGTTTAATTCGTTTCTCCCATCTAAGTTACAGATTAGCAGCTAATTCCTATAATCAGTCATTAACCTGTAACACTACATGTAAAAAATATGGAAAACAGATGTTGAAATCTAGCTTGTACACTATTAAAAATGCCAGGAAAACAATTTTGTGTATAACCTTGACCTCAGCTCTAACCCTAACCCTAATCCTAATCTTAATTTAACCTTTAACAATAATTTCTATTATCTTAGAATTTTTCTGGACATACAATATTACATATAGCATAATACAAATATTGTATGTAAAATCACACGAAACTTCCCACAATGTTTTCTTTAATTATCCAGGATGCATACTTTACAAATAGCATCAAGACACTGAGTATATGCACTCTACACAACTAAGATCATTTTATAGTAATATATTTGATGCGTATATGTATAATTTGTTGCATTATTCTAATGCTCAGTAGTATAGAATACAGATGCGTATTGTCATATATTCGTATGTTGTACGCATTGATTTTTTCACCATACGTTACTTCTTTAAGAACTTGTACTGTACGTTTTTCCATAACACCGTAAATCATATTACACCTACAATGTTTGACTATATAACATACGTATATAAAAGAAGAGTATTTATTTTATAAAGACATCTTGCGTACCCGTATGACGAACAATCGAGTGTATAAATTAGAATCCGACTACAGTGATAACAATAATATTAACGAATATAATATTTTAATAGTACCTATAACATGAGATATCCACTTTTTAAAAGTTATAATGATTTAAAATATTTCACCAATATCGATATAATTTTATTAAAAATAAAGGATTCTGATTGGTCAGATTAATTATCATGTACGTATACATGTACATGTATAAGAAATTGTAGATGTATATTAATAAACATAAGTAAACGACAACAATTTCGCGATAAATATAAAGTATGTCATTGAATAGAATATATTACCAGTTGCTAAGTCAAGAAATAACATTATTTATTATGTATGATTCTGTATACTCTCAATACACAAAAGAAATAAATTCTAAAAATTTTGATAAAATAATAAAACTAAATGCGTAAACACTACTCTTGGTCGTTTTGCTTTAACTCAATATCGATAATAAATTTTATAAAGCATTTATTTTATTGTAGTGTTTCATCATAAATTTGTTGGTTTCGATGGTATACTAAAATTGAGGTACTAACAAACACTTGTATAGCCTAAATATGCAAAACAAACTCATCATTAATATGAAAAATAAAAAGTACCAGTATCATTTGGAATTGAAATTAATCTTGGAGCAAAGACTCGACTAGTGTAAACTGGACTTGAACGGATTTGTTGTTTTCGTTTTATACATAGCAATTTAATTTCTGTTCTTCTAATATCAATAATTTCTTTGTTCTAAAAAGCTGCAATACTCAAAATCCAAAGTATTCAGTTGATTTGGATCGAGTAGATAAAGTCAAAAAATTCCTTAGAAGTTGGTCTATTTCTGGAATAAAATTCGCACCATCCCAGAACAGTATTTGGCATCATCTTAGATCGGACTCTTTTATAAATGTCATATCTATCATGATTTCGCTCACCAAAAAGTGGTTCACCTGTTACAATATCATACATAATAATAAATCTCTGCAGCTTGTGTGCATTTAGCACCTCGGGACTAAACTCCATAATTTTCTCGATTAGATTTATTTAAATTAGCTGGGCGGTAAATCCTAAGTCAGAAATTTGGACATAATTATTTATTAATATATTTCCAGGATGCAAGTCACAAATACCTTCGGTGACCCTTTTAGGCCTCCCCACCGAAACAGAGCATAATGAGATGCCCTTACATCCGCACCCCATCTATGGAGCCGTCATATTAATCACCTATTATTTTAAAGCAAGTCACATGCAAACATGTGAACAAGACCCAAAAACTCAACAAAGAGCTTTAACTGGACTGTTGTTACCAGACTTGTTGCCTTCATTGGATGTGACAACCGCAAACAAAACGAGCTTTTGTTGCTGTGTGTTTCCCTATAATTTATAAAGTTGTTATTATCGTCGAACAAAATAAAACGCGTTCAGTTTTGTTAACACTTGAATTGTTGCCTGTCATTAATTGGGTAATTGGTTCTCGATAGTTGTAACATGCTGATCAAAGTTTGATTTTCTATCGTATCCACTGTTACCTTTTTCAGCATAAAGTCTTCATTTGTCGAATCGATATGCAAAACCGTCAATTTTCTTATTTACGTATATTATACTCCAATTGATAGGATAGTACGAACGTTCTGGCACAGTGTATTTACCGCCTATCCAGTCAAGACTTAAAAGAACTTTGGTGTGCACGAGCGCATGGAACAGTTCGGTGATGAAGAGCGTGGTGAAGATTGTGCTGATGTTATCAGGAGTCCAGAGGTTGGGACGGAACCTATCAACGAATAGCTATATGATACTGGCGGAATGGAATGGAAATTGATATAAAAGATTTTGTTTACGTAGTAGAATTATTTGAGAGAAGAAATAAACTTTGCTTCTTAAAGTAAAAGTTGATCCAAAATATTCTTGATTCGAGCATGGATTTGATGACTGTCGTCGGCAATTTATCTCTATCTTGAAAATCATCAAATGGTGGAAATCATGTTCTATGTGACTAGGGTGTTTATTTGTTTATATTAGTGGATGGCTGAAATAGATTAAACAAAAGGAGAAAGCTTCGGATCAGCAACAATAGCAACAAGATAGAGGAGTGAGTGTCACATTTGCAAATTCAGTCTTTTCAATTGAAAAATCCAAATCAATTTTTTATCGTTGTGCTAAAAAAAAAAATATTAAAAAAACAGACTTTTTAAATGCTCTTTTCATACTCTACACACACAAAATGCATCAATGCACAAAGTTATAGCTCTTTATTATTTTTTAATTCATTATTTGGCGTGCAAAGTACCGATTAACGAAGAGATATATCGAGCTTTTTTCAAGAACAACTACAACATTTGAATTATACTTTATTGAATTAAATAACAATAATAAAAATTACATTTTTTTAGTCTAAAAACAAAACGGAATCGCAAATAATTTAACAATCAAAATTATTACATCAATCAATGATTTTAACATAATAAATTATTCGAATTTATTATATTCGACATTTTTAGCTTATCTTTTTCTTTATTCAAATACCCCTCTTCTCATCGCCAATTTCCTCGCTTCTCTCCCTTTTCCCCTTCTCTCCCTCGCTTTTTCTGACCAACCAACACTGCCGGTACCCGGCATTCAAATCCAATATTCAGCAATACACATATTTTCTGGCACTCACATAGTGAAACACATACAGCATATACATGATGATACACATCCTCTATCCCCAAAGGATGTGTTGTTACGTGTGCTGGAGGATATGTGTGTGTATGCTATTGTGCGCTGGTGGATGTGTGTATATGTTGAAAAATAAAAAAATAATGCATAACTAATAAAATATATTTTATTTTATTTATTTTATTTTTATTTTAAATTATTAGGCATGTCAAGGAATACAGGGGAAATTTGTTATTTGATAATGGATACTGATTCTGGATTGTTTTCTTGTTTTACTTAAAAATTAATAATAATAATTTAAAAAAAATAAATAATAAATAATATTTTATTTTAATAATTATAGTTGGATACCAATATACTTGAATCAATAAGATCTCGGAATACTAGGAATAATACAGGCCAAATGCATTTTTTATTATTTTGCATGTCTTATTTTAAAAATTATTAAGTGACGATGCTTGAGTCTCTTTTAATAACTAGATTATCAAGCATACTCAAACCGTTGAAAATGCAAGCAACAAAATCTCAGGATATTGAAAGAATATATGTTTATTTTTTTTGATTGTTTGTTTAAGATTTTTTTATTTTATTTTAGATATTTGCTAACTTTTCTTTTTTATTTTAAGCTGCATTTTAGGTTACCAAACCACTTGGAAATAAAATCTCGAAATATTGGAAATAATACAGGCTAAATTTTTTTATTATTTTGTATGTTTAATTTTAAAAAATTACTAAGTGAACTGTACTTGAGTCTCTTTTAATAACTAGATTATCAAGCATACTCAAACCAACGAAAATTCAAACAACAAAATCTCAGGATATTAGAGGATATATGTTAAATTTTTTAATTATTGTTGCATGTTTGTTTAAAATTTTTTTTAAAAAAAACTAACCTATTTTATTTTTATATACATTTGCTAATTAGATTACCAAACCACTTGGAACAACAAAATCTCGGAATATTGGAAATATTACAGGTTAAATTTTTTATTATTTTGCATGTTTTAATTTTAAAAAATACTAAGTGAACTGCACTTGAGTCTCTTTTAATAACTAGATTATCAAGCATACTCAAACCAACGAAACGTCAAGCAACAAATCTCGAGATATTGGGAATATATATGTTAGTTTTTTTGATTATTTTTGCATGTTTAAGATTTTTTAAACTATTTTATTTTTAAATTTTCATAATTTTTCTGTTTTAAGCTACACTTTAGATTACCAAACCACTTGGACCAACAAAATATCAAGCAATGTATGTATGCTTGCTTTTTTTTAATTATTTTTAAAATAACAAAAAGAAAAATACTTTGTATTTTATAGTTGCACATCCATTATCAAATAACACATTTTCTCCTGTATTCTTGATATTCCTGGTATGTATTTTTTATTTTAATCAAATCAAATCAAATCAAATCAAATCAAATGCTGAAATGTGTTACTATGCGCGTATACATGTACTGTATGTGTTACCGTCTAACAAACGAAATCCCGAAAATCCAACATCCCGAAAAGCCTATATCCCGAATGCTCAATCCCGACTCCCATATGCCTGACAAACGAAAATCCAACATCCCGAAACACCAATATCCCGAAAACTCAACATCCAAATCCTGAAATGTTAAAAAATGTCAATTCAAAATTCCAAAGCATATACTATTTATATCACGCTATATCGATATTGATTGTCATAAAGTTTTGCAAATAAAAAAAATTTGGCTCACGAACTAATCTGGAAATACTATATTTTAACACAATTAGATTTGAAGTTTGGGATTAGGGTTAGAGTGGAACAAGATTATATATAAAATTACTGCCCGACATTTTTTATTAGTAGACCAAGCTAAATTTGAACATTAGCTCCTCGTATTTATCGATATGCACCATTTTTTCTTGATATTATTAGGGTACCCGATTATTACATGTATAACGGGAAGCCCTACGGACAGTGCTTGATCACGTGTAAATGTACATGTACTAATCAAGTGATTTCATTCAGAGATTACACGTTAAATGATCCATTGTAACGGCGGCGGCACCATAACAATGCCATGATAGCAACTTAGATGCGCCAAATGTTAATTAGAAGAGATCTAATATATAAGAGTTTTTGGACACTAAAAACAATTCCTATAATAAATCAATCTTTATTTTCTCATTCATCTATATTAAAGCTTGTATGATACATCAATCGATTATTATAAATAACATTATATTTGAATTTTCTTTTCATCAGCGTAACATTTATATTGTTTGGTGTCTTTTTAAATGTTTTCAACATTAAAAGACATTTACACGATATTACAAATGTTATTCACATGTCTTTGCACAATAAAATGTTCTTAATTGTTTCTAACATTAAATGATAATAATGAAATTTTTCTAATATTAAATAATAATTATAAATCATACAAATTATGTACTTTGTGTAATAAGCTAAATATAAGAAAGATAATAATGTTGAAATTAACTAAAGTTATGGAATTAGAAAATTAATTGTTATTATAGTAAGCATTTACTAATTTCTCCCTCAAGTTTTGATTGGATACAAGTAATTTTCATTGCTGATTGGTTGATCGCACACCGGATCTTCTAAATTTTTGATCAACCCGGCAAAACAAATTCGGCACAAGAAAATTAATAAGGCGAATAATGTGAAAAATACGGAAATGAATGGGTAACCTGGCTTGAAGCACTAATAAAAATGTCGGGAAGACAATTTTACATATAATCTTTCCCCAGTTCTAATCCTAACTCTTAATCCTAATGCTAAAACTAACCTTTAATATTCTCAACCAATCAAAATTTGGGGAGAAATAAGTAAATGCCTATAGTAACAGTGCTCAGAAAATTTCTGGCAATTACACATAAGTTATGTTGAGATAGAAGAAATTAGATACTTATAATTTGCACTGTTTAATGCTAAGGAAATGGATAAAATTTTTGAATATAAAAATTATATCTTCATATTTTCAAATTAAAATAAAGATAATAAAATCAATTTTTTCGATTTTGTTCTAAAAAATTTCATATATTAGCATTGGAAATATTTGAAAACCATTTTTATTTACATTTGTTTATATCTAATCAAGAGAATAATTTTTTAGCTAAAAAAGAAATTTGGAAAAGATTAGTTAATAAATATATGCATTTTATTAATAATCTTTTTTATTTGTGAACTTATTTTTAAACAAATTGATATAAATCAGACTTGTGAAAATATTAGATTCATACTTTAATGAACAAGTAATATGTATTTTTCAAATTATAATGCTATTGAATTATATTAAAAAGTAATTAAAAGGAACTTTTTTCATTTCAATTAAATTCGATGATATAATTATAATAACTCAATTTATTTTCATTAATATATTTTATTAAAAATATATAATAAATTGAAAGCATTCTTTATAAAAGAAAAATTCTGAAAAAATTTGCAATTACATGTATAAGACTCTAATCAGATAAAGGTTCAAAATATTAATTAGAATTTATATTCAGTCGCAAATAAATTTTATTATGAAATAATAAATTACCTTGACTGTGGTTTTAACTTTTGGGAAGAGTATTGTTGCGTGCTACTATTTTAATCGGTCAAAGAGGGGTTTTTACGCAACTGGGATGAGAGCTAGACTGAATTAT